GGAAGGTGTCCCCCCCAAAGGACCCGGGGTGGCAGCCAGCCTTTGAGCACAGAGATGCCGCACCGCCCCCCCCGTGCCCGCCCCGTGCAGAGCAGCATCTCATCCAGCGCTGGGTGGGCAGGAAGGGCTGCACAGGGACGGGGCCAGACAGCTGATGCCAGAGGACAGTCATGCATGCAAGGATGCCCCAGCAAACCACAAGCTGCCGAGGAAGAGCGCTGTCGCTCCCGCGGGTGCCTGCCAGGACGGAGGGGCCACGCTGCATTGGGCCCCGGGGACTAGCCACCCTGAGGGTTCTGCAGCAGTGGCTGGCTGGCTGCTGCTCGAGGAGCCGGCGCACACCCCTTCCCCACGAAGACACTGGGGTGTAAGAAAGGGAATAAATCAAACCAAGCCACCCTGCCCCAGGCTCTGCTAGGTACGGCCAGTGGAAGGCAGACCAAGTCCCCAGGGAAGGGAACATTCTGCTCAACCAGCGGAGAGAGAAAAGAGCCGACCGCCGAGACGGTTGCTAGCTAGCCCCTAGAAACACTGCTGCTTGTGTCCCACCACAGTGATTCCCGCGCCATGCTGGGAACCTCGAGAGGCCTAGTCTTCAGCCCTGTGAACCCCACAGCAGAGTCCCGCTTTGCTCACGCCGACTGGAGCCCGTCAGGTTAATTGTTCATCCCCCGGAGCCACGTGCGGGCCCTTCCTCGGACTGGGTGGGGGAGATGCTGCCAACAAGGCCAGAGCCAACTGCAGGAGCCCCAGCGGCTGCGCCCCTTCTCCGCTCTCTGCGGCTGCGGCGGACTGGCTCCTCCCAAAGGGGACTCAGCGCACTGGCGAGCACAGTACCGACAGATGCTCGGCAGCGCCCCCTCACAGCCCCCTTGCTATTCGCCTGCGGGCCGCCAAGCCAGGCTGGCTGGCAGCATTGTAATGCAGACAGACGTGCACTACAGACTAGCCCAAGACCAGGACTGGGCAATAAGTTTTGATGGGGGGGAGGGGAGAGTCCAAGATTTTGGGAAGTGGTCAAGGGCTGCACTTGTCTATGGAGGGGGCGAGGGGTCTGGGTTAGGACTGGGTGCAGAAGAAAGCTCGGGGTAGGGCCTGGGGTGCAGGAGAGGGGGTGGGGTCTGAGAGAGAGTGTGGCTGAAGGAGGGGGTTGTGATCTGGGGCAGGAGATTGGGGTACAGGGGGTGGGGGTGGCTAGATGCAGGAGAGGACTCTGGCCAGGGGGAGGGGAATAGGAGGAGGTGCAAAATGTGAGAGGGAGTTGTGACCTGGGCTACCTGGGGGTGCAGAGAATTTGGGTGGTGACCTGGGGCAGGGAGTTGGAGCGTGGGAGGGGGTGGGTGCCAGAGGCAGGCTCTAACTGGGCAGCGCTTACCTAGGCAGCTCCCAGCCAGCAGCCCTGCAGGACACCAAGGCAGGCTCCCTGCCTGCCACAGCCCCACACCGCTCAAAGTGACTGGCTGCTCCCCAGGCGGGGAGGGGGAGGGGAGAGATTTGGCACACTGCCTCTCCCCCGCAGCATAGTCTCTCCAGTTCCAGCCAATGGGAGTGGAGAGATTGTACTGGGGGCAGGGACAGTGTGCGACGCTCCCCCTCGCTGGCTGCTCCCTGCCTAAGGGTCATGATGGGACGGGTCAGATTCAAAGGCTTGGCAACCCACCCCTGCCCAAGGTCCGTCTCAGCCAATTTCTCTTGTGATGATGAGCTGAGATGCGAATCCAGGCCCATGGATGCAGAAGAGGAGCGTGACTGCTCCGGTCCCAGTCAGACACTGCTCCCTCCCCACACCCAGCTAACATGGCAGGAGCTGTAGGGTTGCTATTCACCCGCTTGAAAGATGCTTTTGCCTACAAAGGTTTATCCTTGAATCAAACCACCTGGCATCCTTAGCCATGCTTCATGTGCTCATGCCAGAAACAGATCAACGGCGAACATGTGTTTCTTCCCTGCATGCAATGAGCCTTCAGACTCTAGGAGCATTAGCGAGGGAGAAGCCATGTGTCTCCAAGGAAGCAACATCTGGGGAAATGGAAAGTAAAAAGGAAGCTCCTACAGATGTGTTTGCATTATTAAACAAACACCCACAGATCAAAGCGTGTGAACAGCTACAAAGGACGCAAGCAGAGCGGGGGGACAAAAACTGGCAGCAGCCTGCCAGAAAGGGAAAGAAGAGCATGTCGGCAGGGGGCCAGGACTTACAGATTTTGGGTTTTCCTTTGATGGGGAACTTCACAATCATCTCCTGGGGATTAGTGCAGATATAGACGAACGGTGACCCAGACTCCTGGCTCCACTCCGGATACTGCAAAGCACAAACACAAACTGCCTTAGGCATGAGAGCGGCGCTACATTCAAGAGCAGCACCGGGGACAGGAATGTTTGTGGGACACAAGGCAAATCCGACTCTACGGGCTCATCTACACACATTAAAGTCGGTGCAACCACTCGGCTGTAAAACCGTTTTAGGTGGCTCTGGCATCAGCTGACCCATGCCAGGGGATACTGCAAAGCACAAACACAAACTGCCTTAGGCATGAGAGCGGCGCTACATTCAAGAGCAGCACCGGGGACAGGAATGTTTGTGGGACACAAGGCAAATCCGACTCTACGGGCTCATCTACACACATTAAAGTCGGTGCAACCACTCGGCTGTAAAACCGTTTTAGGTGGCTCTGGCATCAGCTGACCCATGCCAGGGTTAGCAGGGAAGAGCTGAACCAAACACCAAGTTTAAACTGCTGAAC